GCAATTTTCAAAAGTTGAAGACTTACTCCCATCTTGTAGCTTCCAACAGCTTCCCCACAACAAAAGGGATCAAGGGAGCCTTGGCACCCTCAGGAGGGGGAGTTGAAATGTTGTAATTTGTGGGCGGGAACCACAGCCAATGACATCACAGCCAATGACATCATTAGCCTTACATTGTTTAAGTTCTTCTACTAGATTTCAGATATTATTTTATTCTTTTTGCATGTGAACACTGTACTTTTAAAGAATGACTGCTAAATATCTTAATTAACCCAGATGAAACTGAGTAAGAATGAAGATCCTAGCTGCAATGCTATATATACAATGATTCATCCATTTATAAATGCAACTAGGGATGTGAATGACAACATTTTGGGTGGTTCTTTTGCTATGCATTTTTAATTGTCTTTCACTTTTGTATTTTTCATGCATTTTTCAGGTCCTTTCATTTTACACAGAAGCTTGGGGGCTCATTTGCCTATACGCTATCTGTAATTATAACCCAGGCCTGTTGTAACCTAAGTGTCACTTGGTAAGCACTGAAAATTGCAAAGTTCACTCTTACTCATCTTGACATATGAATGGGCTACCTATGTAGGTAGGACAATAATTTTGTGCTATAACGTCTATCAGGCCCACCAAGCATAGCAAACAGGAAAGTACTGTGGAAAATGTAGTTAGTAATATTTGATGGCTAAAGGTTCTCCATCTTTCCTTTTAACATAAGACCAACTTTTCGTCTAGGTAAGATGTACTTTATTGTTTGGCACAGATAAACTTATGTAAAAGAAGCTGACATTCTGTAATTTGACACCACAAAACCAATGCTTTATATGGGTTCCTCATGTATCAATATAAAGCAAATGAGAAGCATGGAAATAAATTGTTCAAATGCTTACTATGAAGGATTGGAGCTCTTTTTTTCTCTGTTCTTTCTGAAATGGAAAATACTGTATCTGCTTTGCAAGTTTGACAAAATATTCTACACAGGGTTTTGAATTCTTCATCCACACTCACATCACCACTTTTGATCTGGCCTGTTTTTCTGCTTTTCTTGTTGTGACACAGGAGAAATGTTTTAACATTCTTCCACACTTATATTCAGCTATACTTCGTGGCTCTTACTTCTAAGAGAAGCTTTATAGCACCTCTAGAGAGAAACGTTTCTGTTCAACAGATGTGGAGCAAATCTCTTGCTATAATAAAATGTGATAATAGAAGAATTACATGAAGTCTAACATAATGAAACACAAATAAATCAATGACTGGCACAGATGGATATCTGTAATGTTGTCCAGGGACAAAGTTAAATTTATCAGGAGCTAAATGAACTATAGAATGCTGCCTGAATTAGACTGTGAGCCTTCTCTACTGATGTATTTATCCAAGATTTCTCTGACAGTGGCTTTGGAAGCATAGAAGAAGCAGAGAGAAGAGGAAGCATTTTAATTATTTTGCCCTTTTATTTTGCCTTGTTATTGTATTTTAAATGCTGTAAGCCGCCCAGAGACCTAGGGTAATGTGGGCGGCATATAAGTTAAATAAATAAATAAATAAATAAATAAAATGTGCTTTACACTTCCTGTCTTTACTCATCCCCATATAAACTAAAAGATGGGAGAGATCAGTATATGACATCTACATTCAAACCTTGTACATTTCTCCGCTCAGAAGCAAGATGTAAATGTCTTATTTATTTTCCACAAGATCTACAACATTCTTAATAAACAGTGTAACCTCTCCAGCTCCTTTAAATGAAAGCATTTTCAGTGAGGCAACTACTGTGTTTTTAACTATAAGGGGAACTTTAAATATGTCCATCATAAAGGTATTCATTGGAGTAATGAGGTTTCTCCACATTTGTGTGAAGGTATATATAATAAAGTGGTCCTCGATTGACCAGATAGGTGGGATACAAATAAAATAAATAAAAATAAATAAATAATATCTGGGAAAGTATGAAGGCAAGAGGAGAAGGGGACAACAGAGGACAAGATGGTTGGACAGTTTCACTGGAGCTACCAACATGAATTTGACCAAACTTCGAGAGGCAGTGGAAGACAGGAGGGCCTGGCATGCTCTGGTCCATGGGGTCACAAAGAGTCAGACATGATTTAACGACTAAACAACAACAACCTTGTTAGTTAGCAACAATTCACTAATACAATTTCTGGCCACAGTTGCACATAAAATATTCTATGTGTCCATATTTAATACCGTAAAGCTGTCCAGAGTAGACTTTGGTCTAGATGGGTGGGGAATGAATGAATGAATGAATGAATGAATGAATGAATGAATGAATGAATGAATAAATAAATAAATAAATAAATAAATAAATAAATAAAGGTATCATACTATGCTCAGAATCCTAGTGGAGACTTAAACTGGAATTAAGTGTAATCACATAAATCACAGTAGCAGGTTTCCATTAATTAAGTTGCTGCTTGCACTCCTAATTACATCTCAGGTGTATGGTGATGCTACATGAGTGGCAGCTTCTTTATTATTGGCAAGTAACTGCTACAATGTATGCAATTACATCTATTCTGGCATTAATCCCCAATAGGATTCTGTTCCAGGTGATGTAGGTTCCATATTGATTCTATACTATTGTTTTTCCTGTGTAACTCTCACCCTCTTTCTTGCTTACTGTGCTCCCACAGTGGTGGTGATCCTCCTACTTGAGGGACTACCATCCTCTACCCACTCCCAGTGCATCCAAGGAACTATAGGAAGTACAGCTTTCTGTATCAGAATGTCTGTAGGTAACATAGCTCCATGACTATTGCCATAGGAGAAAGCATAAAAAAGAAGACTCTTCTGACTGATTCTGTCTCATAGTGCTAAAAATGGTCCTAGAGTTAGCACCAGCAGAAATCAGTTGCTTCCTCAGGTTGGTGCCAAGATCAATAGCGATTTTTGCTCCATCATAACAAAAGGGTATGCCACTTAACTTTTGCTTCTGTTTCTGACTTGGTAACCACTTTGAATTATAAACCAGAGCCACTAAACCAGCAAAAATGCTGTTGTTTTGAATGGAATATCGATATTCCCAGTGTGGTGTAGTGGATTGAGTGACGGACTAGGAACTCTGGAAAACAGGGTTTGAATCTCCACTCAGCCATGGAAACTGACTGTAGGGGAATGGAACTGGTAAAACCAAGCCTTAAATATTTTACCTACCATGAAAGCCTCATTAGGTCGCTATAAATTCTGACTTGATGGCATGTAAAACACACTATATTCCAGGATACTACTTTTCTCAAATTAAAGTGTATTCCTTATCAGGCTTTATATGTCATGTGATCTACAAAATCATGAGATCCAGACCATAATCAAGGAAGATTATTTTGCTCACAACAACAGGGGGGGAAGAAAGAGTATAACATAATAACTAGAAATGCCCTGGAAACTTTAGCAGATTTGAAAATATTAATGCTGAACTACAAAATATACAGGCCTCATGACTTGCTATAAGTTGTCGTTCTAGTACAAGCATGTACATTTTTAGTGGCTTTAGAAATATGCTGAAATATGACCTTGGAGATCCCAAGAGGAGGGGGCAGAGGGCACTAGATTTCCCTCCCTCAGACATTTCCTCATTGTTTATTTAACCCAACCTTGTTCCCGTTCTAAAAGTAGCCCTCTGTAACTTCTAAGTCTGGCTATCCTCAAACTCCATCATTCAGAACAATCTCCTCCTTTACTAAGAAGAATTTTAAAAAGAAATGAACAGCCTCAAGAATGGCAGCCCTGTAAGGCTCAGTTACACATGGGTCACTACAACGATTCTTCAGACAAGAGGAAACCTCCAGTGGAATTTCCAGTGAAATTAAGCAGAAATGTGCAGGATAGGTCATAACAGACGTAGACAGATAGGGAAAACCAGACGTTCAGTGATGTTACCTGCTTTGCATGCAGAAAAGACCAGGTTAAAACACTGGCATCTCCAAACAGGAGACAACACTGTGGCCCTGTTCCTTCCTAGAGGAAGTCTGAATCTGGCATAACTCAGTTGTTTTCTTCCTTTCCTACCATTTCTCTACACCCCTTCCTGTTCTTCTGCTGGTAAACCTTAGCCAGCAGAGCAGTTAAGTTAGGAGAATAATCTGTGGACAAATTTCTGAAATCTTCTAGCAGGAAATATTCTGCCAGCTGTTTTGGTTTGATGTTTTAAACTTTGCAAAACACTGTCTATTCAGACCTATGGCGGTACAGAAATCGCAATCTCTCATTTTCAGAATGGCTTAAGTTAAAGACAGGGAAGTCTTGTCAGTTTTGTACTTGAATTTCTTTGAACCTCATGATTTTTCCTTCCTGACCATGAAGAAATCTGTGAATGTTGGTAAACCCTCTTAAAAACAACAAATGAACATTAATTTATCCCCCTATTTGCACTGGCTAAATTCAGTAGATACAGTTATTTGGAGCACAAAGTGGACCATATCATAGTTGCTTACTATAGAGGTATTACAAGATGAGGAGCCTTGTGGAAAAAAATTGTGACAACCTTAATTCATGATCACAAACATAATTGAATACACAAAGATTCATACAGTAACATTTAACAGTTAATAACTCAAAACACTGGTTATTAATCTATGAATCTGTTAGATAGTTAAACCTATATGGCTACTCTCATGCTAGCTGGGAGGATTCTGCAAATTGCAGTTAAAAAACAACACTTTTCTAAGCTGGTCCCAAGAGTTAGCTGGCTGTATATTTTTTAAAATGGCACAAGTAATATTAATCGCCAGAATTCTATTACTTGTGTCCACCGACTTAAGTACAATGGCAAACTGCTGCCAGTTATGAAATTAACAATAGTATTCCTTGTTATAGGCAAGTTGTGTGAGTTGTGTGACAAGGAATATAAGCATCCATTTCTTAACTAGTAACAATTTTCCAATGCAGTTTATTCCACATATTTAAGTAACAGGATTCTGGCAACGTGCATTCATAACAACCAACTGAGGTTCAAACAAGAAACAAGTGCTTACCTCAATAATATACAGAACCACATTCTTGTAAAAACAGTACAATATGCATTTTGTCACTCGATTGTAACTCCAGGCTCCATGGACGAGTAATAGCTTTTCCAGGTAGGAAAACTGGAGAAAGAAAAATGATTAAATTAGATCTCTTTATATTTACAGCAAAGGTAACTGAGGATGCCTAGTTATTCAAACAGCTGTTTTTATATAATGTGTGTTTTGGATGACATGCAGTCAAGATGAATTCAGATTATTACATTTGGCCCTCTCCCACTGCAAATATTTGCATTCACCACAGGGGGCAGCCTACTTGGAGCACCAAGCAGAGAGGAGGTGTTGAAGACCATCAGCGGCCACTGCTTGTAGACATCCCAGAGGCATTCGTTTGGCCTTTATGCGAACAGAGAGCTGAACCAAAACAGGCTTTTGGCTTGATCCAGCAGGGCTTCTGTTCCTCAGATTTGGGAGGGCAAATCTGGAAAACTTTTTCCAGTTCTACCAAAATTTACTTCTTTTGAACTACAGCTGTCAGAATACTCCAGCCAGTATGCTGAGAGGAGTATGCAGGTATATTGGCAATTGCTCAAAAAACTGTTTTCCATCTCCTTGTGCCTTCTGGGCAACTAGTGTTTGCAGCAACATCCTGTAACATGACTCTTCTTGATGCTTGGGCTAAGAGCAGTCTCAGTTCCTCAGTTTTCTTGGATAGAGTGGCATGCGGGGAATCTACTCTGTGTGGAAATTACTACCTTAAAGTCACTGAACGATACTAAAGGAAGTTAGGTGAAAAACCTCTTACCTGAATGCACCAGTAAGAATAGAATATTTTTAATCTAAATTGAATACAAGGGAATTAAATAGAGATTATTTCTAATAATCGCATGAACTGAATTATTGTCCAAGAAACACAATCCTCTGTGCATAACCTCAAACATAAAAGGCCTATGCTATTCAGTGGCCAGAATCCTGCTGGCCTGCATCTGCATGCATAAGAAAAGGTGATACTTAAATACCACTCCATAGCACCGCTGGCCTGCATCTGCATGCATAAGAAAAGTGTGATACTTAAATACCACTCCATAGTGCTTAAAGCCCTCTCTGGGCAGTTTACAAATTAATCATGCAGACTACACACTGCTCCCCCCTCTGCCATTAGCTGGGTACTCAATTTACCAATTTCAGAAGGATGGAAAGCTGAGTGAACCTTGGGCCAGCTATCTGGGATTGAACCCCAGGTTGTGAGCAGAGTTTTTCACTGCCGTACAGCAGTTTAACCACTGTGCCACAAAGACTCCTCCTATAAAGAAGAGGAGGATTGACCATGGCATTTAATCTTTAATCAAAAGTTTCCTATTCTCCTCCCCTTCAGTTTTTGAGGCTTCCTGGGAATCCCCTTTGAACTGGGGAAACCTTTGGAGGCCTCAGAATAGAAGGAGGAGGGCCTTTAAGGTCCCGAAATCACCACCACCATCCCCACAAACTGGATTCTGGCCATTATCTCTTATTTCTGGATAAGCCTCTATATAATGGCATCCTTAGTCATTGCGATCTATGCGATGTGATCATAATGGGAGACAAAACATAGATAAAAACTAAATATAAAAGGGAAACAGGGAAAGAGGCATGCCTCAAACTGGTACTGAAAACTACAGGGAACTTTAATGCAATAGTAATGAGAGCTCCAGAGAGATGTCACTTTACTACTATAATTTGCATTTTTATACTACTGAAATGCACTGGGCAGTTTATAATCTCCCTGAAGTTCCCTGTGTTTCTCAGGGCATGATTGAGGCATGCCTCTTTATTAGAGGTGCGAGTGGCCTATAAAACCATTATTTTTTTATTTAGCAGACCCTTTGCCAAAGGAGCCCGTACAGTGGTATATGTGGAACCCCGCCCTTTAATCTGCACCACATGCCTCTAATGTATGTTAGACTAATGAATAATGACTTCTCAAGGGCCATTCAGTGAGCTCCACAACCAATTGACGATTCTGAACACAGACTTCCATAATAAAATCCTAATATTTTATCCACAGCACCGCCATGGCTCTCAGGGTATTTTTCTTCACTCAAGAGGAAAGTTTTGGGAGAAAAAAAACACCATTTGCAAGTTTTCTTTCTTTCTTTTTTTCCTCCTTTTTTTGGAATGACAGCTCACAGAATCCCAGGGGATTCTGGGCACCATAGTCCAAAAAAGGAGATTTTCCAAGTTCTGGAAAATTCATCCCAAAGACTCAGATGTCTAGAAGTGGACCTTTCCACATGCTGAATTGTTTAGCATCAACTCAGGAGAAGACAGAGGTCTGGACTTTGGCAGAGCCTGAGACAGAATGTGACCCAATCAGGGGAAGCAGCTGCAGAAGAAGTCAGATGCAGGCATCAGTTGAGACTCTGCTATTTATCTGTTTGCAGTCTTCATGCACTCACTGCTAAGCAATCTTGCATTCGCCTCCTAACAAGAAGAAACAATACAATCTGAAGGGTTTTTTCCCCCTTTCACTCACATGCACACACATATCTTTACAGCATGAACTAATGTGTGTATATAAAAGGGTAAATTGGGATTTGTGTGTGAATCAACCCTGTGGTGCTTGTCACCTTGCGGAATCAATCACACAGCAGTGAGGACTGTGAGGTGGCGGCCAGCCTGGGCTTGCCTCAGGCACCCCAAAGACTGCCAGCACTCATTATCTCAGTGAAATGCACAATGTGAACGACAGAAAAGAAATATAATCTAGTCTTCTCTAGGAAACATGAGGCCAATCTCCATTTAATAAGAACTTCTATAAGCAATTATATAACCAACGCAATATGTGAACATAATAGATTTCTTCTCCGGATAACAAAACAATTGATATCTAATATCCAAAACGCCTTCTCAAATATTCCGGATAACAAAACAATTGATATCTAATAGTGTATCCAAAATGCCTTCTCAAATACGTCCATGCTTTGATTCTGGAGTCTCTGAAAACAAATAGGAAGGATGATATTACCAGCAGTGACTATTTTTTGTAATTAAAGACTCCTCCACCACCACCCAGCTGCCATGGCTTCCGGACAATGAAAGGGATTACATGGAAGCCATGAGAGCCCCAGGACAGAAGCAGAAATATCCAAAGAGTCTTTAATATCCAAATCTTCACCCCTGATGATGGCATCATCAGCCTTTGACAGGTATCATTATGCCAAAAGGATTTCAGCCTCTGCCTGATTATTTGCTACCAGGTCTTTTCCTGTTACTCTGAGGAAGCAGAGGGTTCAGAGGTGCTGTCCTTGCTTTTTCCTAGTTCCAAAGACATCCAGTAATGTTTCAGTAATCCCTGATTCAGCCTGGACCGGAACAGGTCACAGCAGTTGGTACCTGGGAAGGTTGTTTTTAGACCTGGTAAGTTGAGACATATATATGCTGCTCAAGGCCCCGGTTTAGGCACCAGTGTACTTTGAGAGGCTGCTGCCTCACTAAATGGTTCAACTTTTGTTTTGTGTCTCATGCCACTGCATTTTGCCTTTTAAACAATAAAAAGTAACTATTTCAGTTATATTCCTAGAAATTGTACTAATAACAGTAGCTACTTTGGGAGCTTTTTGACTATAATTACAACTTATAATTGCAAAGAAGCTCCCTTTAAGTGTCAGTGTTTGATTTCAAACACATGGAAATCTGGGCAGTTAACTCCGTGAGTGAAAATAAAGTCCAGGAACACCAGCTGAAAAGAGTTCAGTTGGAGCTCCTACAATGCTCATCACCACTATTTAGCATCTGCTTAAATTATAAGAATGTCTGTCTCTCCTCAGGAGGTAAGACTGCTGCTTCCAATGCCGACAGAAAGCCAAGATATTAAAGCAAAAACTTTTCATATTAAATAGCATAAGCTACTGAGCCTTCTAAATGATTGGTATGATGGCTATGTTTCTCCATGCAGATATTATAATGATCTAATGATGGTATTGTATATTAGGGCATAATCTCCAAATTCTTTTTAATGGAAAGACAAGGCAATATTTGCTCATTGCCATGTAAAATGTCACAGGAGCTTAGAATCACAGGAGAGAACAACTTGTTGGCTGAAATCTTGTTGTGCACAGCAGGGATGATGTCATCAGCATTGGCCAATTGCTACTGATTTAAGGCTTCCTTGTATGATTTGGGGTGCATGCAAATTCATTGCACTGTGTATGAGCTGAAGGCAGCTCAAAATCACCTTTAATCAGTAGTGATTTGCCTTTAGTCATCAGCAATTTGCTACTGATGGTGACATCGTCATTGCTGTGCACAACACAATTTTGGCTATTGATTGGGTGTAGAAAAGTTGTTGTTTTTTTGGACTACAATGGCTCCACTAATTGCAGGCACCTGGGCACTGCAGTTCAAAATGGAGACTTCCAAGCTCTATTGACTCTTTCCTTTTCCAAACTGCAGGATTGTTCACCAGGCTGCTGATCACCCTTTTCTCCTTCCAATGGGCTACAAATGAGGAACCAAAATAGCAGTCAGTAGCTGCCCTTCATATCTTTCTCACTGCAATATGCACCAGAGTACTAGTTACTAGTCCTACAGTGGAATTTTCTCTACCAACAGATGTCCAGATCAAGAGCTGAAAAAATTATAATTAGCTGGGCTTTGACAGGTGTAATGAGCAGCCCCTCTTTTTAGTTATTCAGGACTGAAGCATGATGACAAGGAAAGAGAAACCTAAACCTTCAGCAGAGGATGGCTCATGGCCCAGCATCATGGAAAGGATCCCAAGCACTTATGTGACATGTCTGTTTTAAGACAGCAGACTTCAAGGAAAGAGAGAGGAAAATTGCTTGGCCTTCAGATCAGCAATGAGGTGTTGATCCTGCCCATTGAGCCAATACCTCTTTCAACAGGATATGGCAGCTGTTCCCTTGAGGGACTCTAACCTGTGCTATCGCGTAATCGGAGGAGTTGGTTGCTTGCATGCCTTCATTGCCGCTTATCCCCACTCCGACGTGAGCTGTCTGGATCATTCCCACATCATTGGCACCATCCCCGATGGCCAGGGTGATGGCGTTCACATGCTTCTTGACCATGTCTACTATTTCAGACTTCTGCAGAGGAGAAACCCTAGGAAGGAGAGAAGAAAAAAAAACCCTACATCAACTTCCCACACACTAAACTTTGAATGACTTTGTAGAAGGACAGCTGTAATCTAGATTTAGATGTACTGTATAAAAAGGGTAGTTATTGGAAAGTTTCCTAGTCTAACACTTCAGGCTTTAGAATCTATGCCAAATCTTCCATATGCATATATACACAGAAAAGAAAATAAATATGGTAAACAAAGTAAGTGCAGATTACAGCAAGAATGCATTCTAATTAAGAGCTTCAAATGCCTTCAAGTGAGTGGCTATATTGAAGTGTGTGTGAAGAACACTACTCAGAAATGTCAGAGAATTTGATTATTGAAAGGTCTTTTAATTCTTTTTAAGACTGTTATTTATTTAATTTGTATCCAACTTTTCTCATAACATGGTGGCTCATAACATAAGTTAAAAAAACAGCCATAGTTTAGAAGCATACTAATTTAGAATATAAATATATTATTATAATTATTATTATATTAAAACTGTATAACTAATACACTTAAATGCCCCTTGAAAAAAATCTGACAAAAAGCAGCACCTACCAATAAAGAGATTTTTATCATCACCTGATCAGTAGCCAAAAGCCTACTAAATTATTTTCCTGCTGGTGAAAGGACAATCCAGAGGGAACCACTCAAGCCTCCCTCAGAAAAGAGTTTCATAGCCTGGGAGTAGCCACTATGAAGGCCCGACATCACATGTGTCAAACTCAAGGCCCACAGGCCATATCCAACCCACCTGGCCGTTTCATGTGGCCTTCGCAGTGTTGCCTGCTATACTGTGCAGTATACAATATGCAGGCGCTTACTCGGTCAAGATAATGCGTCTACAAGGATCCTGGAAATCAGCCCAGTGGGATTTCTAATCCCAGCATTCCAAGGAGCAAAGAGTCAGAAAGTGATAATAGAATTAGGAGGATTATATTTAATATGATAAAGAGTAGATACATTTATACAGTCTTACAGATTCAACCAGCCCTTTGAGGGCAACCATAATGTCGACACAGCCCAAGATGAAACTGAGTTTTACACCTCTGCCCTATATCATACATGTCTGTATACCAGACATATCTGTAAGGAACGTGGGACCAAAAAGAAGACCTATGACCCTAGGTGATCTGTTCAATTCCAAATGCTCCCAGTCACCATAATGAAAGTCCTCAACCTTTAGGATGGTTCAGACTAGAGATGAAATTGTGACTCAATTCATCTTTGCTTGGTGAAAGAGAAAACCTTCAAATTTTCTCTCCCCCAACAGAAGCCACTGTTTCTCTGGCCAGAATCCAACCAAATATTATACCAGTATAAGTATTTTGGCATAACTCAGAATTGCACATTTGTTTTATTTATAGGCCTTCTTTCTCCTGATAAGGGGACACAAGGTGGATCATAATATCTAGACATAGTCATGTTACTGCAATCCATGGGACAAGTGTCAGCCTGACTACTTTAAGTCCCATGGATTTCAATAGGTCAGATCTATACACGATTAATTTGGATACAACTTTATGCCTTTTGTATTCAAGCTCACATTTTTTTAAAGGAACAAGTTCCTCCCCACAAATTTCACAAATCCAAGGTCTGATTGCCCTGTTCTAAGGGAGAGAAGTTTAAAGTTTTCCATACAATATGTTGGCCAAAGGATGTCGGACCATAGATCAGACAGGAAGTTAAAATGCTTTGCACAGGAGAGGTAACTTGTTTCATCTCTGCGCAATACAACTCTAGCAGCACAGCCGAGAAAGTCTCTTCGAGGCCCTGGAAAGCTAGTCTTTAGAAGGCCTAGATTAGAACAGAGTTTAGAAAAATATATATTTTTTTGGATTACTATTACCAGAATTCTCCAGCCCGCATGGTCTGTGGCTTGGAGACCCCAGCCACTGTAGTCTCCAAAAAGTAACTTTCCCAAACTTTGGGCAAGATGTCCAGCGATCTGATCTGGTTGATACTCATTTGTCAACTATCACCCGAGCTATTATATTATCAAGTTTAGTTCCTTACATTGTACACCCCCTCATACTAAAGCACGTTCTCCAGCCTGATGTCAACAACACCAAACAGAATGGCCATAGCTGGGAGAAATATGTATTGAAGTTCTGCATCTTAAGGTTTTCTTGTCTGTAAAGAACAGAGGCTCAGAGTATTCTAGACCTACATTTCATTAACTGGAGAGCCGTACCATCAGTCTTTCTGTGCTCACTTTCATCTCTGGAAAGGCTTTTACTGACTGATATACCATGTTACTAATCATCCTATAGAGATGTCAATTTACAAGTGAAACTAAAGCAACACAGAAGCTCATTAGTTTTAAATTCTAACATTTATGGGTTCTGATGACAGAAAATACTGACAAAAGTACAGCATAGTTTAACTGCGACCCATAAAGTAAAAATTCCAGCCTGAATTGTAGCCAAAACAGGGGGTTGCATAAGTGAAATACATCAATTATTATGTGCATCAGATGGTCTTTTGGTGAACAAAGAAGGAACCAACCAACTATTTTTATCCATCTCAGCAATGGTAATTATTTTACTATCAAGCATTTTTCTCCTCATTGTTTTGCTTCATTTATTTAGGAAAAGTGGTACTAATAATTTTCAGATTTCAATGGTTGCACCTTTTCAGACAATACTGAACTTGGTTTATTAAAAAAAAACATTTTAATAGGCATGACCAATTTGTTTTCCACTGAATTTTGCCCTCTTGTATTCAAGGTTATTTCTGTAACCACAGTGTTCTGTAAAGATTCAGAGGATTGGGATGAAAGAGTAAAGTTAACAACAAGCTCAACAAATATGGGAAGTAATGGAAAACCTACAGGAGCAAGCAACATCAGCTGGGTAAAAATGTAAGCAAAATCCATTTATAATTTCTGAACGTTAGGACCAAAGACTGAGTGCTTTGTTAGCCCTCAGGTGAAGATGAGATCGGAGGGAGACTGGAAAGAGCTACTGTTCTCCAAAGCAGCCACCCTATGTCTGCCCACTAAGCTCCAAGGACATAGTCTTTGAGTTTAGAGTAAAGTTTGAAGCTGGTGATACTTTTTTGTAGTTTACACAAATATGTCTCTCAGGCCAAACTAGATAATACAGTTAACATATCATTAGAAATAGAGCTCTCTGAAGGGGCAAAAGATATCAGAATACTCTAGCAGGCATTTGCCTCACTCTGCATTTTACAAGTTAGTTTGCTTTCCTTTTATGATAGGTTATAAGAAGGTAAACAGAAGCTTCATTTGCAAGTCTGATCATGTTTTGAAGGTACAATGGCTCGAGGTAAAATATTGTAGTTAATTCAAGAGTCAGCCAGAGCTCATACAGATCCAAGACAGAATGCAATTTGTAAAAAAATAAAAAAATAAATAAAAAATCATTCAATTTTGTTTTGAATTTGGAAGCACACCTTTAATTTTTAGGAATACTGAAGATAACAAGTTTAGAGGCTCTAAAAAGCCATTTCTGTGGAACTCCAGGTATCTTCAAGGACTTTTTAGGAAACAAGAAATACAGCTGTCGTTAAGAATTACTCTCCTGTAGTGAAAAGCTGCGCAAAACAACTGCAGGTCTTCATAGAGGAAGGTGAATATTGGAAGAAAGACACAAGATAAAGATTGTGTAATTTCCCAGGCACATACGTTTTTCCAGGCTGTGGAGCAAAATTCCACACTGGTGTACCACCACAATTCATATACTTAGCATATGTCATTAGATAAACTGCTTATTTAGGACTCAGGGGGCTCCTTCACATGCATACCCATGATAACCTATGAACATCAGGTGGAGGCCAGATGATTGAAGTCATATGTCATATTTATCTGAAACTTAATGGGAACATTACCTTTTCTGCAAGAAGTAAAAAAAAAAAACTAGGGATGAGCAAGACTCAACTGATAAAAGCTTTGTTCTATACCTATTATACATCTATTTTTGGTTATCTGTAGTCCCAAAATGTAACTTTTCCTAGCTATGAGAAGAACCAAAAGCTCATCTGTGTAATAATTTCTTTGGATAACTTCAAGAACAACTCTCTTTCATTAATATATGGTGGACAAATACACACAAATAAACACACTAAAAATTGGACATCTATTATAGTTTGATAAGGTAATGGTAAGCTATTTCTGAATACTCTACATGTAGAATACGCTGGAAAGGGCTGCCATAAGTCAGAATTGACTTGACAGTACATTATTATTGTTATTATTAGAGTTCAACTTCTCCCACCATTCTTTATGCTGTAACCTCCACACCACCATCCACCGTTAACACAGTAGAGTTAACAGCCAAGTTCCTCTATGGAAAAGTGACAGTCACCAGTCATGAACACATATCTTTAACTAACATGCAGTAAACAAGAGACATGGTTAAAAATATGGGGTGGGAGTGAGGAGAACCAATGTCAGAGCTCTCTGCAGCAGCAGCTAGGATTGCCCTTGAAATTTGTAAATGTTCATATTCTATGTTTGAATAACAGTTTGAAATCACATGGAAGAATTTTGCTTTTGAATTTAAGCTGCAACAATCCTATCATGCTTTAATTGGGAGATTGCTTAAGAACTGAACAAAAATTATGGTGGTCTCATCTCCATGAAGAGAAAAGAGAAGGAGAAGAATGATAATGTTAACCTTTCACTGTTCTTCATATTTTTCTAATGACTGGCATGCTTCCATAGCAAGTCAGGATATTGACCCACCCTAAGATATCAAGATAAAATCACACATTAAGGGGAATTCATATTTCCTGCACATATAAAATTGTTCCTCCAGGTACACCATTTCTTCAAAGCTTCATGAGCCCATGTTTACATTCTGATGATCAGTTACAAAGCAAAAAACGGTTTGCTACATGTGGAGTGAGGAAAGCTTGTGCTATGATAAATGGACATCTTCTCCATCTTAAGGGAGCACCACTTCTAATTATGAGCTAATTGTATAAAGCAAAAAAGGAGGCAAAAGTGATAAAACAGGCTGTTGCACTTTGG